CCTGGCCAAGGCAAAAGCTAGCACTTATGAGAGACCTCCTCAGATCACTCCTATGGCAGGTAGGGTAGCATTTATTCTGACATTTTATTATACGTATTTTAAATATAGTATCTCTTTGTAGTGAAAAACTTGAGAGCAATTTATTGACAAAAGGTGACTTTGGATTGCTCAGTTTTTTACCTTTTTGTGGTTTTGTTTTCTAGGACCTATCCAAGGTGCTGTGGGAGCAATCCCACAGGCAGGTCAGCCACCACACCCCATGGGGGCCCATCATCAGCAACTACAGCAACTACAGCAACAACAGCAACTACAGCAATTACAGCAACAACAGCACCAAAACATTCTTCCCCCTTATCCTGGCTCAAATGTAGCCGGCTACCCCAGGTTCCCCAACCACCCTGGGTCTTTTCCAAGCACTTCCAGGCCAGGTAGCATGTATCCCCCTCAGCCACCAACACCAACCAGCCCTTACCCCTCTCCTCTTCACGTACCGAACCCTTGCATAAATGGATCAAATCGTCCCTACCCAGGTTATCAATGTAACGGAGGAATGCCCCTGGACAGTTACCATCCGTACTATGCCTCAAACCCCAAGCACCTGGACATGTATCGACAACAGCGGCCAGCGCTTTACTCAGAGCAGCAGTACGGTGTACAGCCACGTTATGAGGTCAATTATCCGCCAAGGTATGGTGATCCAGGTTTACAGGTCAATGGTTACAATGCTTGCGGCATGAGGCCAGTTCACCCTATGAGACCTTACTCCCCTTATGGTCCTAATGGAGCCCCAGACTCCCAGTTTATGGACCCCCTCTCAAGAGCACCCTCAGCTCATGGGGGTCTAGACTATGCTGCTGTGAACAAAGGCAATCAGTTTGGAGGATACCCAAATCCATACCTGTCTCGGAGTCCTCAAATCGTAGCTCCAGGCCAAGATCCATTCCATATGCAAATCAAGACAGAGATGGGCTTGCCTCGCCCACAGATGCTTTCTGCTCAGATGACTGGTGGGGGTTTACACCCTGAAGCACAGCCAGGGTCAGGTATGCCTAATGGGGGCCTCATGGGCTCTGGTATTAAGCAAGAGCCTGGAATACCACAGACTCCCACAACCCCGCAAAAGCCTGAGGTGTGGTCGGACAATGAGCACAACTTCTTGGACCCAGACATCGGCGGAGTGGCATTGGCACCAAGCCACGGCTCAGTCCTCATCGAGTGTGCAAAACGAGAGCTCCATGCTACAACTCCAGTTAAAAACCCCAACCGCACCCACCCTACGCGCATCTCCTTGGTCTTCTACCAGCACAAAAATATGAACGAGGCCAAGCATGGTTTGTCACTATGGGAAGCCAAGATGGCCGAGAAGGCTCGAGAGAAGGAGGAAGACGCAGAAAAGAACGGTGGCGAGGGGACACCTAGCAAGAGCAAGAAGCCGGTGAAGCGTGAGCTTCCAGAGTTTTTAGAAGCCCCCGGGGGGGAAACTTACCAGCGCTTCATCCAGTCGATAATGGAGGGGTCCATGACGTCCACAACAAACAGCTGTGTCAATACAACTCCATACGCCTTCACCAAGGTCACAGGCCCATACAGTCAGTTTGTGTAAGATGGACATTTAAGGTGCTTTATTTATGACGGACAAAGAACACAAGCACCACTGGCCTCGTCTAAACACTCCTTCCTATCCGTAAAGTCGGCAACAGTGTTGAAAAAGGAACCTGTGATCAACTGAGATATGAATCATCTTTCCCATCAGGTCTTTCACTTCTTTAACAATCAAGCTCCGATTGTTGACCCTCCTAAGGATGTATTTATTTTTGTTTGGCAACTTTCGCAAGATACACACTGTCAAAATCTCTGGTGCTCTCAGTCTAATCTATAAGGACCTATTTTTAATGGAAACAAAGTTTCCTTTTTTGTGGCTTTATTTTTCTTACAAAATTCTACTCTTGGCATAAAACACTGACTTTTTGTAAATGACAACATTCACGGTGCTAACGTGTGTGATTGTTACCATTTATTTAAACTCAAATTCCATCATACTATGACAATACCGCACTCTACGAGTGACACTCAATAACTTATCTCAAAAGGACACTGAAAATATCTTCCCAAGGTCAGTCAATCAGCATTACAATGGTTTTTGGCAAGTCAGTGTTTCTCAGAGCACTTTTTAATGATGAGAATTTTATGTTTTAATAATAGTTTTAAATCATGAAATCTGGTTAACTTAATCGTTACATTTAGAATAATTAATTTCTACGCACCATTCAAATTAAATTCATAATTTATAACACTGGATTGTATGGTCAATCCGGGAAAATGTTTCAAGGTCACGCAAAAAGATTTTTTTAACTATCATTGTGTTGGTGCTTCTTTTAATTTACTATGTCATTTATACTGTAAATTGAGCCATTATAATGGTGCTTTTTTAACATTTTGAGGGGAAAAAAGTCCACATTTGTCATATTCTGTTTTCTCCAGGTTTACTTTGTCGTCAACAACTGTTTTCAATGTTCCTTACCTTGGGCTCATTGAACAAACCTGGACTGTGAATATTGCGTGTAGTTGTATGTCTGTGGTGCTTAGGAAATGTGCTTTTTATACACTGAGGAACATGAAACAGGGTCAGCTCAGTGTCGGTTCAGAGGCAGCTGGCTTGCTGTGGGGTCTTTAATTGTTGTAATCTAACTGTAAGATAAACAGGTGAGATTTGTACAGTAAATTAATTTCTTTTTGGAATTACTGTTATAGATTTTGTGTTGTAAAGAATGATAACAGTCTATTTCATTGTCTTACTTTGGGTTTCAACTGATTTTTATATAACAAAGGTGCTATCCAACCTACTAGAAACATACAATGTGAGACTTTTTGAGAAGGCTTTTAAATAATGTACAGTGCAAACCTTTCATATACCTCAAAACTAGTTTGGCAATAGGATTAAAACATTTTTCTTTTATCCTTTGTATATTACTTTCAAAATGTGCAACTTCAGGCCACCAACAGCAGTTCATGTTTTACTTTCTCATCTGTGTGCTAGAAAGTATTGCTTGAACTTGAACCTTTGAAGGTACTGTAAAATCAGGGACATTTTCAAATTACTTCGTGTTCATCGTCTGAATTCATCCGGTCATTTTCTAATTCAGGTACTGGCCATTGCATCCTGAATCTGATATATGTCTGCTCCACAAGATACTTTCCTGCAATTGTTGTACTTCTATTAAGTGGGATAGTGTCAATCTTTTAAAAGTAATTTGAACATGCACTGAGTTGACTAAAGGGAAAGTATGCTATTGACAAAGTAACAAAGCAATGTATTTGCTATGGGGCAGGACCAGGGCAGTGATTAACATAGCTGCACATATTTGCGCCTGTGTAAAGTTAAATTTATTTATAACCACTAAGCAATTGTATAATGATTTTCCTTCCCTGTTTGATTTAATTAATGCAATATGACTGTCATGTTATAGTAATGACTTACCCCACTCTTCAAGATATTCATTTTCTGAAAGCACTTCATTTCTTTTTCAGGAAAAAAAATATGTAATAAAGAATTACAAAACGTTTTATTTAAATAGATTGTAAATGTGTTAAAAAATAAATAAATTATGTCACAATGTACATACCAAGAACCTGTATTGCAGGAATACAACTCATTATTTGATGTTGATGTAGGTTCTTCTTGGTCTGTCTAACCGACCCACAGAGCACATCAGCAATCTTCGTCATATCTTTAATTATTATTTCGGCTCTTTCAGGTTAACAGAGTGATTACGGTTGGATTATCCAGGAAGTCTGTAAATGTACGCTCACTGTCACAGCAATGTTTACTATCCTGTCAGCTCAGATATTAGAAGTTCTAGTTTTTTTTTTAACTGTTTAAATTTTGTATAAACGAATATACATTAAAAATGTTGAATTTCCTTGTACAGGACCCAGCTACAGTAGCAGGTTGATGTTGAGAAAGCCAAGGTGTCTAAGATGTAGCGGGTTTAAAAGCATAGCCATACTTGAAGATGCTTGGGAGTGTTTCTGAGTGAGTCAACATTACTTGAATGACTTTCGGGGCTTAACCAGTGCGCTAACACGTGCTCAGCTCAAAGGTCAAGCTAGAAGTTGATACACACTTGGTCTTTTTGCAGTTAGACACTAAGGGTATAAAAAAAATGTGCAACTTTTTCCCTGTCGTTTTATTTTTTGAGCGTTCCCTTTGTTCTCCTGAAGTTTGGTATGCTACGAAAATGGAATTAAGGATGGTTATTAATACTGTAAGTATTGTAATGTAATGAATGCAGTTTATTTGAAAGCTGTTAATTATATCATTCCTGATATTGCTGAGATGTGGGTGTTTTTTTAATAAAATTTATATTTATTTAAAACAATTTTATTTGTTAATACTAGTAATTAAATTATTGTGCATTATTGTCCACATGCTGACGTTTTGTAGTAATGGATGAAACTAGACAGACGATTATTAATGGATTTATTTGATTTACCAAAACGGAAAGGAATCGGTGTTATGGTTTCTCGCAGAAACTGATTACAGTCCTAAAGCCCAATAAAAACCTTATCATGACTTTAGTCCCATATAAGGCTGGACCTGGACTTTGACACAAAAAAACTACAGAAAATATACAATATCATTTAAAATTCAATGGAAAAGGAGATACATTTTTGGAGGGGATTAACCTCTGAATTAAAAATATTATTATAAATCAATCTGGTGTGCAACATGACACTCAAAAACATCTCATACAGATCTTCACTGTCCCATTTTCAAGTCCTTTGTATTTCCATTAAATTGTTTTACTCCAAATGATTTGGTGATAAACTCAGATGGCACTTTTTACAGCTAAAATGTGTCCTTACCAAAAATTACATTACATTGCATTTAGCTCACGCTTTTATCCAAAGCGACTTACAATAAGTACATTCGACCAGGAAGACACAACCTTGAAGAAAACAGAATCATATAAGTACATCAGGTTTCATAGAGCCAAACATTTCAAGTGATACTCAACTGGCTTTAGATAAGCCAGTCCTTTATTAGTATATAAGTGTATATAAAAAATCAATCAAGCTGCATTCAAAAGTGTTCAGCTGCTTCAAGTTGGTTTCCATGTTGTCTTCAGATCCTCAGACAAAATGCCACTTGCCCACTGCGAGCGAGAGAAGATTTAGAATAAGAATAAAAGCATTGAATCATAAAAAAACACATTCAATGCAGGTTAGACTTTGTGTACTTACATTCTGGACACGCAACATGTGCGCTGTCGAATGCAGGGGCCTGAGGGGTCAAACATTACACAGGAGAATTACTAAACATAACTTTCACAGTTTTATCTAAAAGTGTATGTTTGCTATAATATTTGTTGAAACACCAGCATATGGAAGAACTCACCGATTCCACCACCTCTTTGGCCTCTTCTGCACTGCACTTAGAGGGGCTCTCACAGCAGGAGATATTTTTGCTATACAAAAAGAAAAGTTGTGTTCATTCACCAAACATAGCTAATTACATACATCACATAACTTTACACTGCAGGAGTTTCACCTCCTACCTACCATGCGATGCCTGCGCTATTTGACTTATTCTGCACTAGTGCCCTCCAGTGCTCATGGGTGGACATTATGATCTCAACTGCAAAGTCCTATAGGAGAATACATACAAAAACACACATTTGATTTCATAGGGAGCAATACATTCAATTTAAAGTTCCCCTATGTGAGGCCGACAAGTGAGCGGCCCGACCAAGCAAGGAGGCAGAACGTCCAAAAATATAACCAGGTGTGGGCATTTATTACACTCGAGCACAGGACACAGCCTCAATCCTGCTGTTCCCGTGAGCACAGTCACCAGCCACAAGGATCTCACACACACTACCAGCCCCCTAACAGACAGGGAAACAGAGCCTAATTAGACACAGGTGGGGGGAGACAACACAGGGAACCAGGTGCACACAATCAGCAGTAACATGGGGAAAGGGGAACACGTTTCAAAACAAAACCAGCAAACAGAAACAGACAAACTAAAACACAGACAGATGCACACACTACATACACTTCGCCACCAACGAAGCTACACAATCCGTAACGGAGGCCGAGATCTATGGCCCCAAAGATCTCCTCCGTTACACCCTATCATACTGTTTTTCATCAATTTATTATAGGTCTCAGATATACAAACTTGTCTCTGAAGTGTTTGGCTGAAACACCAAACAGATCATTACCGCATCCCATAATCCCCTCTGTTTCAGCCCTGTTTCCAAAGTGCTGATTCTCTGTCTGTTACTTTAGATGAAAACAAGGAGCCCCTCCCCACGCCAGAGTCCTGCACGGGTCTGATTTTCAAGACCCGCTCCCGCGACGTGCAATACCGAACCCGCCCCGCTACCCGCACATATTGCCAATTAGTTCCGCAACCCGACCCGACCCGTCGGCACAAGATCCGCAACCCGACCCGAACCCGCATAGCCTATGAGCAGTGAAAACGTGCAGTTATTAACACACGCAGTTTCATATTTGTCTCAGAAAGCGTGGGATGTTGGTTATTTCCTCCATCTAGGATGACACAAAAAGCCTCCCAGACGTTGGATTTCGCTCTTGAGGAAGTGTTATTGAAAATGCTGTATTCTCCGCTAGAGAGCTTCACCTCAGCCATTTCGAATGTGGCGCGCACAGCAGCAGATTGATGCGCTGCAGAGGTTATGATTATGCGCGGTCCCGCGGTGGAGAGGTCTGAGGATTTTAAACATTAAACTAATTTATTATTATTTTAATATATTTATTATGCAATACCCGCGACCCGACCCGCATCATCTTTGTTTTACCCAGAACCGAACCCGGAAAAAAGCGTTTGAAAAAATACCACCCGCGAATCACCTTTTTTGCGGGTCACCCGTCGGGTACCCGACCCGATGCAGGACTCTGCCCCACGCCCCTCTGAGAGACATTTGGTTATAAAGAACACAATGGTGCTCTAGGAGGAGATTCAGGTGATAAGGCAGGGGGGGGGGTGGGGGGGGGGGTTACCTTGGTTGCTGATTGGCTAATGGTTACACAAGCAAAAAAAATCGTTATGACATCATAAAGTGGCCAAAATCTGATCAGCTCATTTTTAGACAGGTTTTTATAGAAATGGATCAGGACAAAAAGAGAGAATCTTTGTTCCTGAGACTTTCAGAGTCTCTTTCCACAGAGGAGACACATGTTGATGTAGAAGAGACATGAACAAGTGGATTTTGCAAAATAGGTGACCTTTAAGGCACAAAAGACTCTACCTCCGGGTAAACATGCCTTATTTACATACTGTGTTACAAAAGTTTCTGTACCTTGTCTTTAAATTGTCCGTTGAATCCAAATTGGTTCTCAGGCTTTCCATCAGGAACCTTGTATTTCCTGAACCAGTCGACAGTGGCCTCTAAATGACCAGGCCGGCTCTTGCGGACATCCTCTATGCCTGAAGAAAACACATTAAACAGAATCACAACAGAGTACTAAATGCACAATAATTTGTCTTAAATATAAATTAGATACGACTCTGACTCCATTTACACTTTAGGGATATATCATGTTGCAAATGTACATCCTTCAGTAGAATGGTATTTGTTTACAAACGTTTTCGAGATTAGAAATTAAAAAGGTAATTGATTAGAACTGCCATGTCTTATTACGAGTATAGATGTCATTAATTAGAAAAGTACATTTGAAATACTTAGAAAGTAATTATTGTGCCTTTATTCTCGCTTAATGACTTTTTCAACAAACACATGAGCACGAGATTTAACATGGTGCTTTTGCATGATCATTTGTGGAGAAACTCAGTTTAACATGTTTATTAGATTCATTTCTTTAGGTGTGGACAGGCCTTAATCAATGTATTATGCCCTGTTAAAACCACATTAGGAGAAGGTTGCAGCTGTATAGTAAACATTGCATGCTTAAAAGTAGAACAGAAACAGGTTATTCAACTGCTGTAAGAAACATTCAGCATGTTTATAATGCCTTTAGGATATACACAATAGTTTAGTAGAGAAATGTTGATTGTAAACAAAGCTGTGTTGACAATGAAAACTCCACAGGGAAGGTTTTAGGTAAGAGTTTAAACTATAGTCTGAAGTTTCTGTCTGACTTGCCAACTCAGACAGACATTATTTATCATCATATGTGATCAGTGGCGGACTGGCCATCGGGACGAATTCCGATGGGCCGGTACCCTCACAAACGCTGATGGGATCATTGTCACTTCGTTTACACTTCGTTTACACTTCGTTAGCGGCAGGGGCGGACTGGCCATCTGTAGAATGCCGACAGTTTGTTGACAGTTCACTAGCACCCCCCCCCAGGGCTGATTTTTAGTCCCAGTCCGCCCCTGTATGTGATAAAGTGTGGATCTGACAAGCTCTGGAGATAGGTTGGGCATATTCATTTACTTTCATTGACACTTAATATAAAACCATTTGTACTTAAAAGTTTTGCGTATAGATAAATCCCTATTTTCCCTGAGGCAAGGATTCCTGAACTAAATTATTCCAAGCTAGACAATGGATCATTGTAAGGCGGTTTTTAGATGCTGGCTGTTGATGTGATCTGAGGAAAACACCCACTGTTCAGCTTTTTGGCGTCAGGGTCCTTAATGTTGATAGCGATGACCTTCCAGTCCATTTCTCCCTCATCGATCATGGCCAGGATACCGAGCACTTTCACCTGGATCACCTGACCTGGAGAGCACACCTGAAACACATCACAACAGATAACAAATAAGTAGTCAAATCAATCCAAGCTATCTTCGAAAGATAGTTCTGAGGATTTAGCAGAGTTGGTATTTAACAACAAGAGGTGTTAATGAGAGAATTTGTATATTAATAAAACACTTAAAGCAGTCTTACCTGGGTGCCGATCTCACAAACGTCGATGGGATCATTGTCACCACAACACTTTGTCTCTGCGTCCGTGTGGTTCGGGTCTTCCCACGTCTTTCCATAGGAACCGTTCAAAAACATGTAAGAAATGAAAATGTTCTACCAAACTTTTTGAACCATCTATCTGACTAATTAAATAAATAAATAAACACACAGCTGACAAAAAATGTCTGGACACAAAAACTGAATTCATCACTAGGTCTAAGTCTTTTGTTGTTTTTACATAAAAAGCCTGAATAACTTAATTTTCTTTCCGTGCATTTTCCTCACCTGTGGAATCGCCCCATAATTCCAGATGTAACCTTTGTGGGGAAATATGTTGGCAACATACCGGAGCTTTCCTTTCTTCACATCTTGTTTGATCGGGTTCAGGGGTTCCTTCGTTGCAATCTGGAAAAAGAAGCAAATAATCAGACTTGTGTAATTTTGTAAACTTAATTAAATGTTTTCATTAACACTCAGAACAGTGTCAAGCTACTGCTAACTGTGGAAAAAGCTAGTATTGGAACCTCCGTTTAGAAACACATTAAATAATAACAGTAATAGTTTGAGGCTACTCATGTTACATCCTTGGAGTTTCAATGAATAGGAGTTGGCGTTCCAGTTATAACTTAAAAATGTCAATATCAGCCTTTACCTAAGCAGTAGTAGTAGTAAATGTGAAATAATAATAAACAATCATAAAAGTGAGGTAGTGTACTGCCTTCTCACCTCCATTTTAGCATGTGACCATCGAGGTACCTCCACCACCATGTTAAAGAGCACCTGGAGAAAGAAAGAATGCTTTATGCAGTGTTTGCTGGGGTCGAAAGTTTCCAGGTGGTCAACTTATGATAAATAATTTAATCAGACATTACCTCACTGTCATTCTTCTTGGGCTTTTTAGCTGGCACATCATTGTCCTGTTGAAACAAAAACAAATGTGTAAATTGCTGGTATGAATATTATGTTTATCCAGGTTGTGAACTTTTTACAGTATTTATCACTCAGGTGTTATCAAAGCGTTACCTGTTCTGTCTCCGCTATGAGTGAGATGTCATGGAAAGGTGAAATGTATTTTCCATCAGATGTTTCTGAGAAAAGACAAACCCAAAACGTTTTAAATAATACAGCAACCTCCATACAAACAGTATGAACTTACAATTATTTGTAAACAGATAAAGTTTTGCTTTTGTTAAACGTGGCCTCCTTTTTTCAAATCAAGTCTTTTCTCAATTTTTTTTTATTCTTCATTCACCTTGGAGGCTGCGAGATAAACACGTTTATCTTTAACAATTCAAAGTGACAACGGGTGAGTAACTGATGCATTTTGTGGCTGAAGTATCCTATGAAATGCAAATGTAGCCAAATACAGCATTTGCTTTTTTGATTGAGACAACATATATTATTGTATTAGTGACCTTTATAGGCATAGTTGTTCTTGTCATAGCAATGTTCGATTCACTAAGAAAGGCTGACTGTTTTAAATATTTCCTAATTTAATCCGTTTTCAGTCATTCATGTTCATTTATAATTATACAAGACACTAAAAGTTGCCACCTTCTTATTGTTTAAATTACAACACCTACAGTCACGACTAAATATAGTAACATTATCCATATTGGACACAGAACAAAGTGACACTTTACTAGGTTAAAAATGTGTTACATTATATCCTAATTTGACTAGTAAATGTCAATATTCAATATGTATGTGCAGCTATTAACCACGTGACAGCCCAAACAGGATGTAAAAACCACGTGAGGATGTGTCCCGGATCGAAATAGAAACATCGTTCTCGCCTTTCTGCTTATGCACCATTTCAGCAAACGGATAACTATCGTTGAGCATTTTAAGGGGGGTTTCACTCCAAAGCTAAGTGCTAATAGTGCTACAATAACAACCTTGCACATCCAACTCAAAGGTCAAACCTGTCACACAGCGTGTGCTAAAACACTACGAAATGAATGGGACACGCATTGGTTCGTCCCCATGGCGGTGGTGATCATAACTTACTAAAATAAATCCGATAGTCAGGAGAATGGGGGCGTCCTCTCTCCTCCGTTTGATAGTGCATCGTTTTCCTGAAATAATTCAGATGCGGAACTACTGCTGCTTGTGTGACGAGTTTGTTTCTAGAAGCACGAAATGAGCCGAAAACTGTGTCCAGGCAGCCGAGCAGAGGGCGCAGCGGTCTCATTATACACTCTTTCCCGGTTCCTGGCCTGCTTCCCGTTTTCACCTCAGACACTTCCACAAATGTCAAGTCCGCCATGATGAAACCGGGCGTTTCCGGTTAGAGGTTTTCAAAGTAAAAGCACTCCAGGCTGAGACTATGCTCACTCCACATGTTATATGAATACACAATGAAATCAAGACCCAATGGAAGAAACATAAAGGAGAAGATATGTTGGAATTTAATAACAACATATAAGCGGTTGACGGAAAGACAAAATGGTTCACTGCAGGGTTTACCATTAATCCTTAAATGTATTAATTTACTTATTACTTACTTATTATTATAATAACTTGATGCATTTCATGAAATAAAGTAGTTCTCAATGGGAAGCGTTATCATATGTATGTATAATGGGTTACATGTATAAATTCAATAAACATGCTTACAAAAAATGCTTCTGGGGGTTTCGAAAGTGGAGAGGGTCAATCTTCTATTTTTTTTATGTGGCCTGATAAAATGGACATTTCCAGACAGGCACAAAGACATTTTTGGCATACATTTAATCTCTGTTTATCCACATATATGTTATGTAAACTACTGACTGATTTTGGAACACAAAGCTGCTTGTAATTCATAGTTGCACTTTTACTTTGAAGTCAAATCAATGCAACCGGTAATTTGTCCATATAAACTTCACGGCTCTGCCATTGCATACTTGTGGTGGTCCATGTGTAGGCTATATTTATTTTGCTGCCACCTAGCAATGGGACACATTAACACACACATCTTTGTCCAATGACTGGAAACATGGCTGGTTGCCCCTTTTATTAAGAAAAACATGGTATTTGATGTGATTACTCAAGCATGGCTGTCAAGGAGAGAGAGGAAAATTAATCTCTGAAGACTTTCTTTTCTATTCATTTATTATTTTGATATTTTTAATTGTAGCTATTTCCATATTAGAGTTTACTAAAGAGAAACAAGTTGTAGTAACTACTAGTTGAATGGGAGCTAACAACAAGTTTGTACAATACAGCTTTATTTATAGAGCATCACCTCCAAAGTGCTGTCCAGTGAAATAAACAAATTAAAACATACACAAAATCACACAGCACAGCTCACACACCATAAAACAAGTACAAGTACAAACAATAGACAATTTAATAGCAATAAAAGCAACACTCTAAAAGATGTTAATACGCTAAGGAGAAGAGGTGGGTTTTAACCTGTTAAACCCCGAGCCTGTTTTTCAGGTCTCAGGCTCGAAAATTACATTCTCAGAACAAATGACCATATCTTCCCTTCTAAAAGGGTTACATTAATAATCTTTTTTCCTCAAAGCAAGGTTACACCTGTGAGTTGGATGTAGAAGTGTCAGAATCAATATAGATGTTTTTATTTTAAAGTGAATTCAGATTGAACACAGTAAATAAATGTAAATTATTGTGTCCGTCCAAAAAAAAAAGTACTTATAGTGAAAACCACCCTTGAATGATGGGATGGTAGACTAAAAGCTTTATGAATCCAAACTACAACATATAATAAGTACCCTGCATCAAGATTGATGCAAAACAAGTGATATTTGACCTTTTTAGAGAGATTTATTAAACAAAAAACCCACTTCTGGGGTCATTTGGGTGGATTTGACCTATCTCTGGCCCCCCTTGCTCGATTTTGCTGATTGATATCTCTTTCTAACCGTCAGAGCCAATGGAATCGAGGGGAACTCCCAAATACTCCTCATTTGGTAATGTGTGTGTGTGTGAGACTGCCGCATAGCCAAGACCGGAAGCTGCGATAACTCTGGTGGCTACCATTAGCAGCTAACTTTTACTCTCCGATTTTTACATTAAAATGGAATTATGGATTATAAACAAATTATTACCCAGAAACATTATCAAACTATGGATTAACCGATTCAGCCGCGTTTTTTCTCGTTTTAATGCCATTGAACCAGTCTTTTGATCAGATTGACACAGGCCCGGTTCTACGGGGGTGCATAAGGGTGCATTGCACCCTCAGTTGAGTCGTTATGCACCCTCATTTGAAAAATGTGAAAAAAATTACATATATAATAATAATAAGAATTTAGTTGAAATAAAATAAATTGTAATTGTGGTTAAATAACATTGTCTGCTGCATTTATTTGGTCAATTTAAACGGTAAGTAACGTTATTATTATGTCAGGTGTGCGTGACGTGTGCCGCTGCGCGTTCGTCATCTGCAAGGTGCTTACACAGCAGTCAGTGATGGACATCAGAAAATTGTTAAAACAACCAGCCCTTATCGCCAGCAGTAACACTGCATCTACTGCAGGTAATAACAGTTCAGATCATGGGGACATTACGTTAGCCGCGGCCACTGTCGTGGACAATAACGTCCGACTCGCCGGCTTTGCCCACCTCGCCCGCGGAGGCGGAATAGCCGCAGCCGTCTTCGTTGCCCCAAACACCGCCACCCCTCGGCGGCCCGCAAGTGCCAGAGGATCTCAGCAAAACAGAGCCTGCCCAGGTATATTTAAAAAAGTACCCAACTCGCCTCATTTTGCAGCTCATGGTTTCAAAACAGAGATTGGCTGGAATATTCATGTAAAAAAGATGCCATCCTCTGCTATGCATGTAGACATTTCGGTTCAAGTAAGTCAGATGCCTTCACCACAACTGGCTACAACAACTGGCGCCATGCTCTTATAGGCTACGCAGTGGCGTTTTTATATGTACAAAAGTGGTGGGGCACAAAAAACTTAGATGTCTATAAGCTTCTGCAGTGAGGTTCATGGCTGGTGAGGCACTGGCACTGACTCTTCAGGTTTACAAATATTATATTTTGACCTAAATCAAAATATAATATTATTTTCAAAAGCTTTTTTTGTCTGATGTTTCAATTAATTTTAAACAGACAGTTCAACAAAAGGATACCCAAAAAATGTAATTTTATCATTTAAATATTGAATTGTTCTCTCTTAGTAAGATCCCCTTTTCAATAAAATTGCAGTCTTACCTTGACTTGAAGATTAAGTCCATTTGCCTATCCTTCTGGACAAAAATCTCTTACTTTTTTGTAAAAGTCCTCCTTATGTTCTTGTAGTTTCAAAATTCTATCATAAATCTAATCTAATCAATAGATTTATGATTCGAAAATTATAAAAGTAGGGTAGACATGTGGATATTATCCGGCTGAACAAAACGTGCATTTATCTAACAGGTTTGTTTCCCACAGATCTTATTTGGAGCTATTTTCTAAAATCCTATGGAGAAATCTCATTGCTTTGTTGTCGAGGGAAGCCATGCGCAGCTTACTTCCGGGTTTTAGGACGCCTCACTGCAGCTCTCTCGTCTCCTCTTCACACACCACACTTTTCGCGGCACACGTACTTACAGCCAATCAGCTCTGAATTATGTGAGATGACGTATGGTGGGGATGGCAGCTCTATGCCCCTATCGTCATTATTCTTTTGCCACACACATTAAATAGGAAAATATTCTGAGCATGCGCAGTGTAGTTTTTACAGTCACCATTGGGACAGGGAGAGGGAGGGGCAGGATCGGGTTTTGTCCCGCATGGCTCTAAACAGCTCAATAGGCACACACTGTAGACACTAATTAGAAGAACACAGACTAAAACAGCAATGTACAGACGAATCAGATGATTAAACATGATCTTAAAATATATTTTATACATTTTTGAATTCATTTTTTGCATTTATTTGTAATCATTATTTGTAATACTTTCTGCTGACACTAGGTGGGGCTGCACCTGCCCCTAATGACCAGTCGCCACTGAGGCTACGTGATAAGGGACTGGGAAGGCATGAATCAAGCAAAGAGCACATAGATCCATAGATCTCTTCATTTTGCTCTCAAAGTTCACCAGATTGATGCTTTTAACTTCAATATTTAAAAAGAAAAATCAACCCCGAGCATGCCCCCGGACCCCCCTAGAGGAGGTGAGGACCCCCCTAGAGGGTGTTAGGTCCACTCCCCACTTATAAAAATAGCACTTTACCACTGCACCCTCTCTATTCTCAGATGCACCCTCAGTCATTTTGTTCTGGAACCGGGCCTGGATTGACAGCTACGGTGAGAGGATCTCCTGTAAAAGCTCCGTAAAGGTACGTGTTATGATGTCTGAGTTTGCTTCCCCTGTCGCGAGTTCGGATCACTCAGTGATGATATATATATACCTAAATAATCTGTGGAACCTCAGCTTTAATCGGATATATTGTATGTGCAGCTACGATAAGTAATAAGGGTATCTTTTATCTTGAGTTCTGTGCCAAAGTGCGTTAGCATTTTTCGCTCAGGGGTCATTTAGATGCTTCTTATGAGACTTGTGTTTTGTTTTGGTAAAAATGGTTTGTATCGTCAGTTAGCTGAGATTATTCCCGTTAATCTGGTATAACACATTAATAGGTTCATATATAGTAAGATCCCCTGAGACACAGTGTCGTGAACAAACAAAAAAAAGGACCCGCCGAGGGGGTCCTTGGGGCTTAACAGGGAAGTGATTTAAAAGCAGGCAGTGTGGAGGCCTGTCTGATATGCATGGGCAGATCATTCCACTGTGTGGGAGCCGCTACAGAGAAGCAACGGTCCCCTCTCCGCTTTGACTTGGTTCTGGGCACATTCCGGAGCTGTTGTTGGTTGATCCGCCGCTGACCTGAGAGGGCGGTTGGGCATGTAAGGGTGTAGCAGCTCAGAAAGATATGGTGGGGTCATGCCAAATTTAGTGATTTAAAATTAAATAAAAGGATTTTGAAATGAGTCCTAAAATGTATTGGCAGCCAATGGAGCGAAGCCAGCATGGGGGAAATGTGGTCATATTTCCATGTGCCAGTTAAAAGCCTTGGTGCATTTTGCACCAGCTGCAGACGAGCGAGGGAGGACCCGCTGACCCCCATGTGGAGAGAGTTACAGTAATCCAGCCGAGTGGTGACAAAGGCGTGGATTACTGTCTCAAACTGCTGTCTGGAGAGAAAAGGTTTTATTTCGTAGACTTTTTATTACTAACATTATGCCCACTGGCTTTTTACAATGGGTTTTTCCATGTTCAATAACTGAGTGTATTGATCATTATTGCCTCCTTTCTTGGCAACTTTGGCAACCATTTTCAGGACAACCATATTGTCGCTCTTGCTTTAATGTCCCTGTGCTTTTGTTTTTATGACATGAAGGTGATGGATTCAATGGTAATAATCTCCAGAAAACAGCGTGAGATCAAAGTCCATATGTATCCATTGTGTCATAGACAAACACCCACCCCAGCGACCTTGATGTGTCTCCTTTGCTGTTGAATAGCTCTATCTCTGTTCAAACACATTTCATAAAGATTGGCAACCATAAAAAAAGTTGCTTTATTTTCTTGCAGTGGATGCTGGCCTTTGATACTGTTGCCAAGCGGCTTTGATTCTGCCGAGCACATAATCCCATTAATGCTGTGTGCTTCAGCTAACAGGAACGTTTTTATTACAAAGATCGTGCTGAAGTTCCCACAAGAAAAAAACTTAAAACAAATATTTCACGTTGTAAAAGTTGGAGCCTAGTGGCCAAGGTCAAAGCATCATACGTTGATAAGAGGACGAACTTGGCTGTGTGTGAATGTCAAGTGAGATTATGAAAGCTTCACAGAGGAGTAAAGTGTCTCCTTGTTTTGGAAAATCTGTACAAGAGCCAAAGGAGAAGAGTTCCCATAAGCAAAGCACTCAGCCATGACTCTTCCAGTGATGGTGCCCAAGTGGCCGGCAGTAAAAGTCTGTGGCTGTCGAAGAAAGTTTCCGGCATAAGAGTTTTTTTATTTTACACTTTTCACTCACCTAGCTCTCTCCGTCAGCTCCTTCCTCTGGCTGCTGCTGACAAAAAAGCATCTCTTTGTTATTTAGTCAATAACTTTGAGAATGAAGTCCTGTTAGCATAATATGACTAACAAACAAATGTTCTTTCAGCATAAGAACATTTGTTTGTTAGTCATTATATGTTTCATTTGTCTCCACTTGATTGTCTCCTCCATGATTTCCTGTTTGTGTTTTTATCATGTTCTGTTGCCTATTAGCAGTTTTTTTTAAAAACACATTTTACAGTGTCCTTGGGTGTCAGGAAAGGCGCTTAAAAATAAAATGTATTATTATTATTATTAGTTAGCTGAACAAAAGTATACAGCATGTGGTCATATTCCAACAGTAGTTTATACAAATGTGTTTGCACATTTGTCTTGCACTAATATTTTGCACATTCTATGTACAATTTTGCACTAATGTACATTCTCAAATATTGAAGTGACTGTTATTTTGTATATATTGATTGTTGTGTTTTTATTTAGGTCTTAATGTGTGCACATGTAAAAATGTGTCTTTGATTCTGTGTATATATATATACATATTTGCACACATATTTTGATATACATTTGTTTTATATTTGGGATTGTGGGAAACGGTATTTCGATCTCTCTGTCTGTACACACAAACTGGAAGATTGACAATAAAGTTGACTTTGACTTATGTTTGACTATTATTTTCAATTCAAAGGGGATTTATTTCCATGACATTTTAAAGAACAAAGTGACCAAAGCATCAACCAACTATTTATGTTAAGTGTTAGGAAGTACCTAATAAAAATACCCAAATAAAGTCCTTTGAACATTATTTTGACATAATATATGGATTATATAGAATATTTACACACATGTGAAGTATGAAGCAAGTACTGTATGTATGTCAACCATTCTCTTCCTAAACATATACTTGTTTTGAATACTTTTGGACAGTTCAAAGACCTATGAATAGAGAAAATTATCGTCAGGGTAATCCCTTAAAAACAAAAAGAGTAATGAATTGGATTCCTTGTTAGAAACATAACTTTATTCTGGGCGAAGAATAAGCGTAATGACTATATTTGGACTGCCTGAAATTGTTCTTAACTGTGAGAAAGTTCTCTCTAGACTTCAGGTCTTGAAAAGCCACACCCTGAGTTAAACGATGTCACATGTCTCCAGGGCTAAACAATTCATATCCACACTGGAGATAACATTGTTTACTCACTTTCTTTGTTTGCATAAAGTATGTGATTGTTTTTGTAAGGTTTACCAACTTCCTGTGGTTACATAATACTGCTAACATTGACGTCTGCTTTGTTTGAAGAAAATGTCCCTGTGCTTGTTTAACAGAGATTACAATACCAATTTGTGAAAAGTTTTTCTTGAAAACTAATAGATGATGCAATGAGAATTATGTTAAAAATGTCTTAAGTTGATGACCAGCTGATATATAGTTAATGTGTATCATTCCAGTTCACTGGAAGTTGAACAGGTGTATTATGAGCGCACTGCACAGAGATCTGAAAGCACAATGGGAGCACTCATGACCTGTAGTTCAATGAGGAGGAAATGCATCCATTCATTGTCTGGTGAGGAACGCAGTATCTGGTTGCTATGACCAGAAATCATTGTGGCAGCATGTGTGTTGATGAATTACCTGTCCAACCAGATCTGAAGTTTAAAGAATATATTTTTGCAGATGGAAACACAAAACTTGAAAATGCCTTGTGTGTGATAATTAGCCAATGTGATTATCACTAACACTACACTTAAAGGGACTCTATTATGCTAATTTTCTGGTTGATATTTGTATTTTCTGCCGGTACTGTGATGTGTCTCCATGCTTTAATGTTCAAAAAGCTCTTTTTTTCTTCTTCTCATACTGCCTGTCTGTGCTGCAGCACCTTTTTTCACCCTTTGCCTAAAACCAGAGCCCAGTCTGCTCTGATTGGAGTCCAATGGAGGCATATCAAGTTCTCTGATAAGAAACTTTTCAAATGTTACTTCTAGGCAGCTATAAACTGTGTGATTAGATTTTGTTTCATTCATTTCATGGAAACTTCCTACATTCAAAGAGTAGAGTGTAGACATAAACGTTTGACTCACTTGATACGCAATTGACTTGTACTTTGTGTAAATATAAAGCTGTCTTTACTTACAAGTGGGATTTACAGCATTGTGGCTATTTACATAAATACTTCCTTGTCGACAGTTAGCGCAGTGTTAGTGTCTCTTTGAGCTCCCACATGAATTCTTTTTGTGAGGACATTTTTTTATGCTTTAAATAAAAGCAGAAGGATTACTTCTGCTGCGGGTTATTGCTCTGTCTTTAACTCTTTTCCTATATGTAATACTCTGAGGGTAGAAGCACAGCAGTAAGAGGTGTGGCCACACGGCCTTCCTGACAGGTACACATGGGGAGGAGCTGGGTCACCTGCAGAGCTGACAGTCAGTGCACCTGTTGCACCTCCCAGGCTCGCTCTGCTTCTCTTCCCTCCTCCTGTCCCTCTCTCTTCCCCTACTTTTCTCCTTGGCAGTGCCGAAAGGCAGCGTACGGCCGCACCATGGATCCCAACGAGGCCGGCGGGGGTGAGAAGGAGAAGGACAAAGATAAGGAGAAAGTGATAAAGAGGAGGAACCGGCCTGTGTTCCTGCGGTACCTGGAGAGGAGGAGGACGGACACTATTGTGGCTGAGGATTCGGCCAAAGGTGACTTCAACCTGGGGACGCTGGTGAGGAGGAGCCAGTCTGACAAGACGGAGTACAGCGCTAAACTAAAAGGTACACCTGCTAATGACCTCCCGGGGGTCAAAACTATAGCAACAATCTAGACACACGTGAGCCAACAATTAGTCTCTCAACTTCTTACATTGCAAACTTGTTGATAACACGCTGGTTGGGAGAACTTTTAGACAAATATGTAGAAGGACTCTAAGAGCAACATCTATGGCTTAAGGGCAAACATTTAAAGATGTTAGATCTAGATTAGGATTTAATATCCTTGGGTGATGTTTGTTTTCACAGCAAGAAAGTACACAGAAACATGTAAACACACAGCAACACATAGATTTACATACGGCAACACAAAGATATAGACCGTAAACAAAAACGTTATGCAATTGCCAAAGCTCACAACAGTGTCAGTGAGGTGCATTAAGTATGCACTGCTCTATAGCTCTGGATACAGGGCACCTGTTGTGTTACTATGTGTTAGCCGGAGCTACTCCCACAGGGATGAAGCCACATATGCAAACTCTGCTCCAAACTCAGGCACAGAGGAGTGGCTTTAGAAGTGTTCCAGACCGGCTAGTAAACAAGAGAGTGACGTGGGAAGAAGGCTGTACAGATTATTTTCATCGTCAAATTAAGCAACACGAGTATCATGGGACGCAGGGTGATGTCAGGCGATAGGGCTGTGTTTGCATTGAATATAAAACAACAGAGCTATATGCATTGTTTGACCAGGAAAGCAAACACTCTGGTAAAGACAAATTGTATTATGCTGCCTCATCACAACTGCTGACACAGACTTTTCACTGACAGACAGACACACACACACACACACACGAACACACACACGTCCACATTTATAGAAAAACTGGCTTCACCTGTCCTTAGAGTGCTGTCAGTGACTGGGAATGCTGCCCTCCAGGCAACAGGACTGACATCACTGTGTCAGCAGGGGGTTACTATGAAAGATTACCACAAGTATGCAGGCTTTCCTGTACCACTTGTTTCTGCATTCCCTTTTTCTTCTGAACAATGGCCATCACATGCCAGAAGGATAAGTGCCACCTTGTTTAAAATAGCAAAGGATAACCCACTTCTCACTTGAAGTTGAACTGATAAGATAGCTTTCACACACACTCTTTCCTTATCAGCAGCTGCTCTGTTTACTTGAAATAGAGACTAATTCTTCACTGTTATTCTTGACCAGCCTGCATAATGACAGGCCGGATTGTCAAAAAACACACTGTGTTGTTTTCAGTAAACCATTCTCCCACCCTGTTTGACTTTAGCCCCGCACCTGACGGGCCGTATTACATATTTACAGTGGTATTACCATTGCAAATATTGACAGAACGATGACTTCACTGAAAGAGGAAACATGTGAGTTGCTGTAGTTCTCATCTGCTTGTCAGACAGGTTATTCAAGCAACATAACCATGGCAACGTGACATCAATACGTATAATAATTTACAGCGACTAAATATAATAGCCCTGGCAATGATTTACCAGAAAAAACCCACATAAAAGGACAGTAATAAATGAAATATTCACTTGTATTCTTTGGCAAATCATGGATGGAGATCATTGATATGGGTTTATATTATTTTAAGGCAGGACTCTTGTGTGCGTGTGTGTGTGTGTGTGTGTGTGTGTGTGTGTGTGTGTGTGTGTGTGTGTGTGTGTGTGTGTGTGTGTGTGTGTGTGTGTATGTGTGTAACCTTGACTTTCAATAGCATTCAATATTTTGTGGCATTAACTTTTCTTAATTAGACAAAATAAATGTTAACATACTTACAAGGATAGATGTCCTACTTTCTTTTTAGTGATAAATAATTCCAAGCCCTTACTATTTTCGTGACATTTCCAGGCTTTTTTTATATTTCAGCATTCTTTATAAAAAATATATTGTCAGTATTCTCATTGATAAAAATCCCATTGTGCACTGCTGTGTGGTGAAAGTCAAACGTGTCATTTTTCCTGCTGGTGTCATGTGATACACCGTGCCTTGTACTCCGTCAGTCGGATCCCTTTCTATGGGCTGAGCAGTGAAAAGCCCTGTATCCACTTTCATGGGAACTCCTGTGCCGGCAACCATACCTCACCAAAGATAATGCCAGAAAAAACAACCAGTCAGCACAGTTTGAGATCTGCTGCTGAGTCTTCATAGGATGTATAGTAACACATTTTAGGTTTTGTATCATTGAGAATGTGCAGGGGAATCATTTCAAGGCTAGTTATGAGTGGGAACACTTTCACACAGAAGTGCTGCAACAATATGACACTTTTCTTATCAACACTTTGTACAGTGGCAGAAAAATGAGGTAAGGTTTAAGCTTAAACAATTGCATGAATAGTGTATGCTTTTGTCCAATGAGCCACCAGGATTCCTCTATCATTAAGGGGGACTTTTCTCACGGGTTGAGGTTTTCAGTGGTGGAAAACACTGGGGTCACTTTTCACACTGAAAGCTCATAAAGACACATGACACTTAAGGTGGACATATGACTTTGATACTTATTTTACGTAACATTCCCACTAGTTTAACAATATCTGAGGTTCCTAAAGTGAAAAATGTAATTCCACAGTTAAATATGGCTATATCTTTAACAGGGATTTATTCCAAAGCTTCATTTGACTCATACAACAGATGACCTTGACATTGACAAGTTATTAAATAACTACTAATGGGAAAGGTCTAAGACTGCACAGCTCTGTGTGTGTGTGTGTGTGTGTGTGTGTGTGTGTGTGTGTGTGTGTGTGTGTGTGTGTGTGTGTGTGTGTGTGTGTGTGTGTGTGTGTGTGTGTGTGTGTGTGTGTGTGTGTGTGTGTGTGTGTGTGTGTGTGTGTGTGTGTGTGGTGTATACACTGCCAAACATGTTTGTATACAGCTCCGGGAAAAGAGACAACTTCAAATATTTCTTAAATCTCAAACTCTACATGTATGGCAGCCATTCCATTCAAGTGTATGTTGAATTCCAACACAGAGAAATGTTGTCAGTAGTTTATGGAATAAAATAAAAAAATTGTAATTTTACGTAAACACATACATTTAAATAGTAAAACCAGAGAAGTTCATAATGCTGCGGTGGTCTCTTAATTTTTTTCAGAGCTATATGTTATAATTATAAAGCAGCATTCAGAATAAAGCTGTGATCCTTTTTCTATTTTCAGCTGTTTTATTTTTTTCAACATTCATTAGAGGCGATTAAAAGTGGGCCGGATGTTAAAAGCTTTAACTGATACACTGTCCAAAAGGCAACCACGTTCAAACAAGGTATTAACAAGTGGTCAAGTGGTGGAAAGAAAACACTTTATTAAAATGCATATTACCTTCTAGATGTTTGTAATGTTTTTCATTGAGACTTCCAGAGGTTATGATTCACCTCTGCAGGTGTTTTATTCCTGTTTATCACAGGAAAGGAACAATGTAAGGTGTAGCTGTGTTGCAGGCAGAATGTGATCAGATCGAGTCAATCACGTGTGAACACAACCTGTACAGTGTTCGCATTCATCAGAGTTCTGCCCCACTGGCCAAAGACACACAAGCCATTATACTCAGCTTCAGCCACCAGTTACTCTACTTTCCCCCCATTGAGACGATGTTGTGTCATTCACAGCATTTGCATTTTACTTTCTTAAAACAACAAACATTTCTGTAAATATGAAATGATATGGAAATATACACCGGGAAAATAATATGTTCCAACGCCTGCCCTACTCCTTTTTATTGGACATGCAAGTCGCTCACTGGGTTATCATGCACAAAAAATGTAATCTGATCCCAGAATGACATTCATGAGAGCACATATAATTATGGGATGATGACATAAGGTATGACTGGTCTGATTGTTACACAGATAGTGAGCCCTTTTCTCGCTTTAATACGATGTCCATTAGCACTAAGCATTGGGACTTATTTCTGGGGTCCACACACTTACAATTAAACAAACAATCAGAACCAGAATCAGAAATACTTTAATAATCCCAGGAGGAAATGTATTTGTTGTGACAGTTGTTCCATTTTAGAATGAATAATATACAATAAAATAAAGAAATCTAAACATAAGAAGTAAAAATATGAAAAATATGGAATTACATTTAAAGTAAGATGTATAAACGTAACAAATTAAATAAATATGTCCCGTAGAGATAAAATACAAATAATAAAATATTATATAAACATCAGAATTCAGCACATTGACTCAGACCAATGTTCTGGTACTTTGGGTGGGAGACATTGTCACAGATGATCCGTACCTTGGACAGCATCCTCCTATTATAAACACACTATTTCCACAAAAAACGAAACAAATGAGCTAATCTCCCCAAAAATTGAAATAGGACTAAAATGTTAATTCAATAATTAATGACATTTGCTCAAGAATTTATATCCAACCTACATGATGTATGGTATTCTTTTGCAAATGGACGCTGTAATGAGGTCATGGTCACATTTTGTAAACCAAATGTAACTATTTACAGTAGAATTGCGTGCATGTTTACCGTATGTATACAATGGGTAAGCTGAAGTGAGTCTAGTTCATGTGTGTGAATGTGCATGCATGACGTTCGTGTCAAACAGTGTGTGTTTGTGTGTGTGTCCTCACATATGTAGGTGTGTGTTCATCATCCCATGCCACTCCCAGTCTGAGCAGATGGAATGCCTGAGCACGACGGAGCATTACATCAGCGGCACGATTATTTCTGTAACCTGACACAAGCCTCACACACACACACACACACACACACACACACACACACACACACACACACACACACACACACACACACACACACACACACACACACACACACACACACACACACACACACACACACACACACACACACACACACACACCACACACACACACACACACACTCTCTCCCTCCCGGAGAAGGAAGTGGTGTGTGTCGTTGATTAGGCAGTAAGGAAGCATCCCTCTTCCCTGAGCAGACAGACGCTCCTGCCTGCCATGCAAAGCACAGAGCAGCCACCGACTGATTAGACAGCGGAGCAATAAAAAAGGAGAAGTGAGCCTGACTGGCATGTTAAGTGAGGCCTTTTGGCGCTGGAGTCAAAATAATTATATCACCGTGAAATACTGATGGCTGCTCAGGCGTCAAGCGGTTGCGTTAGAAGAGATGTACCGTTTTTCCCAAGCATGCACACAGCCCACAGGGGCGGGATGTTTACCAGCCATTTTTAGAAAATGCACACAGATGGCTTGAAATGTTGGCAAACACATATACATTTTGGGGGAAATTGCAGGTTTACAGCAAAATGTAGGTGCTCTTAAAAAGATAATTGGTTTTTGGATGCCTTTGAATGGACCTCTATGACACATCGATAACAAAAATGTCTATTTCCAAATGTTTCATTCATCCCATTTTATTAATAATAATAATAACTTTATTTATACAGCACTTTTCAAACAAAGTCACAAAGTGCTTAACATGGATTAAGAACAGGCCGTTCAGGCATGCGGTCAAAATTCCCCAAACCCACCCCATAAATATACTACGCTCTGCATCAGCCAAACGACTCGTTGCGCCCTCGCTGCGAGGGGGACCCAAGTTCCCATCGGCGAAAACACGTGGGTTTGCTGTCCTGGCTCCAAGATGGTGGAATGAGCTCCCCATTGACATCAGGACGGCAGATAGCTTGCACATCTTCCGGCGCAAACTGAAAACTCATCTCTTTCGACTCCACTTCGAGCGTTAGAACTATTAACGAAGCACTTTTATACTAATAAAGGACTGGCTTACCTAAAGCCAGTTGAGTAGCACTTGAAATGTTTGGCTCTATGAAACCTGATGTACTTATATGATTCTGTTTTCTTCAAGGTTGTGTCTTCCTGGTCGAATGTACTTATTGTAAGTCGCTTTGGATAAAAGCGTCAGCTAAATGCAATGTAATGTAATGTATACAGCGTTTCAACAATAGCAGCAGTAATACAAAAAAAGAAAGTAAAACATGGATGTCGAGTAAAACAGAGTGGTGTCATCATTAGTTTAAAGTAGGGCCGGGACTTTAACGCGTTAATTAAGATTAATTAATTACACAAAAATTAACGCGTTAAAAAAATTAACGCATTTTAATCGCACTTATTTTTGCACCGCGGGACGTTTCTCACTGGATGAGTTTCAGGCGTACCGATTATACTGGAGCACCAACTAACGTTCATGACTTCAGACAACAACAAACCACAGTGAACAACAGTGGGAAATGTTGTTTTAAAAAACGGACGGATGGAAGCGTCGATAAGAGCACGGTTGTGTGCAAATTATGCAAAAAGGAATTCGCATATCACCGCAGCACATCAAGCCTCAAGTATCACCTCAATGCAAAACATATAGCAGCTAGCGTGGACGTTAGCCTCTTTTATCGCGTTCACACCAAAAAGAGCCGGTACTAAAATGTGTTCATGAGAACCTTTTTACCCCCACGAAAGTCCCTGCTAGAGAGCAGGGACTTTTTTCTCTTGTGAGAAAAGAGCTATATTTCTGATTGGCTGGGCGGATTGCAAACCACGCCCCGTAAAACTCCCAAAACGTTTTGTGAATTTTATTATCCTCGCATTAGCATTATTAGCATTAGCCCAGCGCAGAAACGCAGAGAGACTAATTTATGGCAACACAAAATAAAACATGGGAGCGGTGGAGATGAGGAGGTGTCGGCGTTCTGGCGATTTACTCGGAAGGGTGCTGTACTGAAGCCAGTCCCCAACTCCGGGGACTTTGGGCGGCAGTATACGCCGTGAAGTGGTTTGCGGCCTGCCAATAAACCCAAAGCAGAAGAAGAAGAAGTGACGTCAGTGGCTTCATTTGCCTAATCCACCTCCAGGTTCAAAGAGTTCTCATGAACCAAGTTCTCATGAACCTTTGTGGGAAAAGTACTGCGGTGTGAATGCGCCTAATGGTATACTAAAATCCATGTGAAAAAAATTGCTTCTCACTGTTCTCAGGTCAAATATTTATATGTGATTAAAAATGCGATTAATTTCGATTAATTCATTACAAAGCCTCTAATTAATTAGATTAATTTTTTTAATCGAGTCCCGGCCCTAGTTTAAAGCTTTAATAAAAAGGTGAGTTTTAGGAAGCGATTTCTTCATGTTGCTGGCCTTTACTGCCACGTAAGAACACTTATTTATTTTATACTTATCATATAATGTCCTCTTTTCTCAGAGAAAATGACACCCCACGACCTGTCGACGCCCCCCTCTCCAGCTCTGGACCCAGAGGAGGTGCGTTTAAGGAAGATGAGCCGCAGGGCGAAGGTCATTCAGGAGCTGGTGCAGACTGAGAAGGACTACCTCACAGACCTGGAGCTGTGCATCAGAGAGGTGGTCCAGCCTCTACGCAACATGCAGGTAGATGATCGGTAGATTTTAGTATACGCCAATGAATACACTGGCCTAATGTGGTATTAACTCCACTAACCTCTACACAAAAGCAAAGAGAAGATCATTTTAAACAATGATTTCTTTAAAAAATGTAATCTGTAAGATCCAATGTTAATACTCAACTAGCTGCCTGAGGGGGAAAAGTTAATGTTTATCTGCCTTTTTGGTTCTTTTTGACCAACTTCACAATATGACACTGGCTCTGACTTTATTTTTAGCATTTCATTTAATTTAATCGTTTATTTGAACCGGGACAGTGCACATGGATGAACCCTTTAAAACAAAACAATGCTTACAAGCGTAAATGAGCCGGATTTTAGCTTTAAGCTCATTTCCATCCGCGGTCCCCTCACATACAAGAACATGACATTTATGTACATGCCAAACATAAATACATGACTAGCAGGAAGAGCATGAGCAGCATATACAAGCATTTACCACATGGCAGTACAATGTAGCAGCTATGATATATAAAGTGCAAGATAAGATAAAAGTGCTACATAAAGTGCAAGAGGAGATACCCCTGTGTTAGCGGTGATTTCACGTCTGGTTGTTTCTCAACCATTCTTTGAGTTGTCCTTTAAAACTATTGAGAGTGGGACAATCCTGTATCTCAGTTGGGAGGCTATTCCACAAAGAGCTGCCTTTAACGGAGAGGACATTTTGTTCTAAAGTGGTCCGTCTGCGGTGGACTTCACAGTCTCCTCTGGTTTCTGACCTATAGTGCATTAACACAAATCATAACAATTACTGATTCAGACACTAAGATCATGAAAATCTGAAATATATGATGGTATAATTAACATTGATGAAATATTCAGAGAAAAAGGGTGGCCAACAGGATAATTATGTTATTGATAAATGGCAACTGACAGTGATTCAGTTCTCCTCATACTGTATGCACAGAAAGTGTACTTATATATATATTTTTTTATTTGCACGTTGTTGGCATATTTTGCATTATGCTGTTGTGCCACATGTATTGTTAACATTTATGTTTAGTGTTGATTTCTGTTTTGTTCTGTTATAACGCCTTGTGCAGAATGCTTTGGCAACACTATGTTTAAAATGTGGTCATGCCAAAAATCCCCTTTGTATTGTATTGTAGGCTACTTATAGATTATTCTAATTTAGTTTAATTTGCACTTTTTATTTCCTTATCCTCTGTCAGGTTGTGGATGTAGACCGGCTGTTCACCAACACAGAGACGGTGTGTGAAGTGTCTGCAGCTCTTCTTCACAGACTGCATAAGGCCATCGCTGACCCTGATCCCGAGGCGGTCGTCATAGGTAAGGCCATTTCTAACATGATTTTATTGTTTGTTGACTTTCACGGCTCTGGTTGATATTAACAAACAATCTCATATCCCACTTTTAATTGTAGGGGAAATATTCATCCAGGCAAAGGCAGCGTTAGAAGATGTATATAAGATTTACTGTTACCATCATGATGATGCTAACATGTCCCTCAAATCCTATGAAGAAAATGAAGACATTAAGAAACATTTCACCACATGTGTATTAGCTCTGAAGTAAGTCACTATTTGTATATACTTTCAAAAATATGTATTACTTTTCTCATATTTTAAATATTATTAGTATAATCATGTTGGTGACTGTTTTTTTTGCTTTGTAATTGCAGGAAAATCTACGACCTAGAGTAAGTACTTCTTTATAATGTTGTCACTTAAAATATAACAAGTGACATAAGCTGTCATAAGAAACAGACAGCTTTTCAACTTTGTATTACCTGTCATGTCCAAGTGGTGTAATTGTGGTTGTCGCTGTCACAAAGACAATCTGATGGCTAGGGTTACGCTTATGGTTAAGGTTAGGAGGACACACTGTATTTGTTTCTAAACAAACTGAAAACACAGATATAGATAAGATATTTTATTTTGTGTGGTTAGCATCACAGCTACAGCTAGCTGCCTGTCTTCTGTTTTATTCCACTCCCTCTTGGCCTAATCGTCCACAGGGCTCTTTAGCCGGGTAGTTTCCACAGTGAACAATACTTTGGTTGTTCTGCTACCTTGGGATAGCGACTGTAGCTATGTTATCATGGTTCAAAATGCCCTCTGGTAGGCAGTCATGCAGTGTATATCATGTGTAGGGCCTTTAGTGAAAGGTAAAGCCGACAGAGTTGCATTGTAAAAATAAGATTTAAAGGGAACCGATTTTTAATGCCGATGATGTCATTATTCGACAGCTGTAACCTTGTGCAATTAACGTTTACTTCACATTAATAATTAAAGCAAATGTTATCTATTGTAACTAATAAATATGTTGTCATATGTTGACTGAATCATTTGTTGACTTGACAGTTGTTTTTGTCGTGATTCAGCCTATTGTTTTATTTTCTGAATCTCTGTCAAGAAAGAAGTAAAGCCAATACACTTTAAGTCATGGAAAAATAAATGTTTACTTTATACCGTAATCTTTTTGCAGAGGGAAACCCAACCTGCTGAACATGGGTTCACTGCTCATCAAGCCGGTGCAGAGGATCATGAAGTACCCTCTGCTGCTCGGGGAGCTGTGGCACGCCACGCCTCAGGACCACCCGGACCATCAGCCATTGCAGGAGGCCTACACCGCTGCTAAGATCATCAACGTGAACATAAATGAGTTCAAGAGGCGCAAAGATATCGGTGAGATGTCATTAGGGTGCTGATCATTAACGTCTATTTATATAATGTGTGATTTTGCTTCATGTGAGCTCAAATGACAAAGCTTTTCAGATGTAGGGCTGGCCGTACACATATTGGTTGTTTGAAACTATTTCTGTTCATTCTCAGTTATGAAGTATAAGAGGTCGGATGATGAAGGCACACTGAGGGGGAAACTGAACAAGTTCAACATCCACTCTATCCGGAAGAAAAGCGACAGGTTTGCAGGCTATCTCAAGATCCTCACTGGAGTAGAGCCACAGGTAAAATACTGTTGTTCCCTCCTCACTCACTGCACCACATTTAGTACATGTAATACAAGTCATGAGGCTTGTTAACTTAACACTTTGCAAGAATATATTTTGTGGCCTAAAGGTAAATTATTTATACGCACATTGCTGCTTTCATGAAGTTCTAAGTAGTCTCAGAATCAGATCAGAATCAGAATACCTTTATTAGCCCCACAGAGGGGACATTTGCATCGTTACAGCAGGAAAGAGCCACAGACAGCTTAATGTTACCTATGTCAAGAAAAAAGTACTAAGTTATGATATAATAAAAAATATAATATAAAAAATAAAAGTAAAAGAAAAATACTTTCCAAAATACAAATCCTGTAACAGTTCTTAGGATTTAGCAGCCAGGCATATCACAAGTAGAAACTCAAGATGTTGCATAATGCAAAGGCATATTTGGTATTTATCAACTTTTTAATCAAGCTCATTTACTCTACTGTCTGTATAGGTGAGAGATGAAGTATTTGACCGAGAGGAGAAGCTGTTCAGGAGTCTGGAGAAGGCTGTGAGGCAGCTGGCCAAGAATGTCCAATTTTACCTGCTGCACATTCAGGTAAGTACAGATATTAGCATGCCTGACCACAAAGAGTGTGTTCTTTTAAAGTTTCTGATGTGTGTTCTGCAGGAGATGGTATCTGTTGCTGTTCAGAAAGTACAGGACATGGAGGACATGATTAAGGATCCAAACAAAAATGACATAAACGGCTCATTGCACCATAATGGAAATGACCCTTATAAGCACTTTGTAAGTTTGGCTGTTTTCTGTTCTTCACAACAGTGTCATTGGTCTCATTCAGGGTATAGTTAGCCTTCAAATACAGCTCATCTCTTTCATTTCTCAAAATCATGGTCTTGTCTGTCCATGCTTTGCTGTCCTGTTTCCTTCATGACCTCTCATTCACCTTCCAACTGTGAGTCACCTGTCCATTTTATTAATCCTCTTCTGCTCTGCCTCTAACCTTCCTACTCGGTCCCTTTATACATTTGCTACCTCCTCTCTCCTACACTCTTTTATCTGTGTATTGCATTGTCACCAGTTCTGGAATAACTATACTTTTGAACACAATTATTTGCTTTCACACTGCCTCAAACCAAAGTACGTAATAAGATTTCCAAAATAAGTGTAGACACAAAGACATGTGTACTCCAAGAAGAAAAACGACAGACGTATCTCGTATGAAAATGGGTCCATTGTGTCAGCTGTAATGAAAACACAACAGCTGTAATGTGATAGATGCTGGAAGGGGACAGAACATTTTCACCAAAGAAACTGCACACTATGATAGATGAAGTATGCTTAAGTCTCACAGTAAGCTGAATAACATCAACTTGCTTGTGTATGCAAATCTAACAGCTCCAGTGTTATGTATTCCAGGTTAATGTAAAGCATACGTTACTGTTTCCTATCAGAGAAACTACTTGGCAATTAGAGGTGCTGCCGCATTCTAAAAACAATACATGTATTACAAACATCATATAAAAGACACAGAAGTACACTGAAAGTACATTTTAACATGTACAGAATGCATAATATGTAATGAAAGAACTTGTACTTGGTGTCTTTATTCATCTTCTGCTGCCTTTTCAACGTCTTCCTGCAGAAAGACAGTATGGAGCGCTCGGTCCTCGCCCCCCTCTCCTCCCTGCAGGGCATGTTCACAGCCCCACAGAAGCTCATCCAGAAGCGCTATGACAAATTACTGGATTACTGCAGCCGCCTGGAGCGCTCTTCCTCCTTTTCATCCTCATCCTCGTCGTCCCCTACTTCTTCCTCTACTTCACTGGCGTCAGAAGACCCGCCCGGTCCCGCCAAAAGGGACTATGAAGCCATCAATGCTCTGCTAGTGGAGGAGTTGGAGAGGTTCAACAAGGCAGCCTATCACATCCTGACCAACTGTGTGCTGCACATAGTGACCCTGCTCAGAGGGCTGATGGATAAAATATTACTTCGTGCCCCGTCCATACAGCAGCTACCGGTGAGGCTCCCACGTATAAACCACATTCAGGTATTATCAAGTCTGTTTTATATTGAAGCTAAAATGTGTTTGTCGTTTGAAGGCGCCATTGTCAAACATTACTGAGGTTCAGAACAGCATCATGGATGAGCTGAACAATCTGACTTTTGTCAATGATAACGCTCAGAAGTTGATGGAGCGAAAAGTCAGCTTTGAGAGACAACGAGACAAGAAAATAACGGTGAGAAAGTTAAAATAATAAAGACTCAACTTTAGAAAGCCTAAACTCTGTATTTTTAAGATCCGTGGTTAGTAAACTGATCTGTAAATGTATCATTGATTGCATGTTAAAACTTTGAATATAATTCTCTTTTTGACCAATTACAAGCCAAGAATGAGCAGCTATAAGTATTATCAAACACAAAAAAGGAAAGAGCTCCAGGCTGTGATTAACTGGGGAACTTGGCAATCCAAAGTCATCATCAATCCCCTAACACTTAAATGTCCACACGTGTAGGTGTACACACACATATATATACACACATATGAGAATGTGCTTGTGCTCGGACATGAAAGTGGCTGTATTTGAAACTCCCAGCCCCAGGTGCCTATTACCTCGGCTCACACACAGATAACCAACAACATTCCTACATGTGCCCACACACCGGGCCAACTTCAAATAATTACACTCTTTGTATCCAGGTGCCGGAGGTGCAGCATCAAACCGAGGAACAGCGAGGCTGGCTGCTGGCAGAATATCCAACGAGCCATCTGTACCTGCTGAAGAGGAAGTGTAATGGCTGCCAGGAGCAGGACCTCAGCCTGCTGGAGGGGGAGCTGGTGGCCCTGCTGGAGGACACGGACCCTCTGGGCAGCAGCAGCCGCTGGCTGGTTCACACTGGAGGCAAGTATCTGTAGGTGTGTGTGTGTGTGTGTGTGTGTGTGTGTGTGTGTGTGTGTGTGTGTGTGTGTGTGTGTGTGTGTGTGTGTGTGTGTGTGTGCGCGCGCAAGAGGACAAAGACCTGTGGGGCAGCAGTAGCTCTTAACACATTAAGTTAGTAAGACACACACTGTAATTGAAGTTATGTATGGTAAGTCTTCTTTAATACATATTCCTCTGTGAATACACCTGCATCTATGGCTGTGTACACACACCAAACTTTACTTTCGGAAAGTGACTAGTCAGCACACAAGAATCAGTCCCATGGGCCCCGGGGTGTCAGTGTTGCCTCTCCGCCTGCCTCTGGAGATGGTTGCCTCACAACAGGCCCTTCTCCATAGCTTGTCTCCATCTTCTCTTTACGAGAGGCACCTGAGATCCCGATGTCTTGTTTGGAACAAACCACTGCACGTTGGAAGCAGTGTTACCTAGAGTACAAAGCCTCTCCCGATGGGAATTTGGAAACAAGGACGGAGAGATGACGCCTGCGCGCCTCTGTACTCGGCAATAACAAGTTATTTTTGATAGGCTCTGGAAAATAAGTGTGTGTGCATGTTCTTTCAGACAAACTACATTCTTCGCACACTTGTCTTGTCCTCTGGGATTACTAGCATTCCCAGGAAGCTGTTATTGTTCAGCCTTCTGTTCTGATATCAACACTATGAATATTCTCACATTTACACATTATTCAGTTCACTCACATGGACTCAACGTTGTGTAGATTATGCTTACAGTCTTAATGTAAGACCCGTACATTAAACACACATTTATCCTCCTGAGATGGTTCAAATTATTTTTTCTCAAGCAGCTTTTTTAAATACCAACGTAAAATGTCTTATCGGGTACATTTGTTCTGTAATTGCCTTACTGTTTGTCATTCAAAGGCTGGTTTTACCCAAATTACAAAATGACTGGGGGCAAGATTTGTTGTTAGCTGTCGGGATTCAGTTTCAACAATACATTAACCACATAAACTTTACCCAGGAGAACGTTCTGAAAAGAGATGCTGTGATGACCTTTCAGTGTATTATGTGTCTCAAGGAGGATATGCATATCTCAAAATATGAACAATTAGCTGAACCAACCCTTTCAAATGAACTGTCTCTTTGTGTCACTGATAGGTTCACAGGGCTACGTGTACTCCACCTTCCTGAAGCAGTACAACCCTCTGAGGGATTCCCAGAGGAAAAGCAAGATGGCCAGAGAGCAGCAGCAGCAGCAGCAGCAGCCGGCGGCCATGGTGGACGAGGACTTTGACGACATCAGCCTCTTCGTGTCGGGCAGCGGCAGCAGCAGCCTGCGCAGCTTCAACCTGAACACCACCGACAGCGGCTCCACCCTCTCCGGGTTACAGGGGGAGTCAGAGAGTCCCGAGGACCTGGAGGACACCTCGGACGCAGAGGCTCAGCAGGTGTGTGGGGTAGCACGAGTGTGTTTTTCATTTTCAGTTATTGCAGTGCTTAGAACTAAAGCAATTGAAATAAAAAGTCTTATTCCTGCTCATTTTGGCTTCTCATATTGAGGATAGATAAGTTCAGGTATCTCAATTCATCAACAGTTGCATAAAAATCACATACCTCAATCCCATGTGCATAAATGTGCAACAATCTTTGAAATAAACTAAAAGTATGAAGGAAAATAAGGGACAAAACTAAAAATACTTTAACCCCCACACACCATTAACCTCATTATAATAATACACATAACAGCTCAGCAAGCCAAGTAACTTTAACTGCCTCTAAGTGTCTCCTTATATATGAGACTCCACCTGTACAAAATAAGGGTTATTCTTTCAAATGGCCATTAAACTGAGGTGAGCAGTTACAGGCTGGAGGAGCAGGGGCTCACTGTCTGCCCACTTGATAGCTTTACAGTGGCTGTCCAGCTCACATTGATTTTAATTGGGTACAAAGCATTAAATGATGACAGCACTGTCGCCCTGGCTTCAAAACTAAGGCTTTAAAACCTTTGTGGTCAAGTCTTCATCAGCTATGACTCCCTAATATGACTCCAATCTTCATAACATGACAGTTATTGGTTTTGAAATGTAAAATGTTGACAAAGGTCAGTAGACTAGCTTGTAACCAATACACATTAAGACTGGTGGTAACAAAATACCCATGTGGAAAAGCTGATACACAGTGCCACCTTCTGGATTTAAAGGTGGATACACTTCATGTATTTCATCATTCCAAATAAAGATTTACTACAGTTTAATTTGTGTATAGAAAAAACAACTATTGCTGTCACATTTTTCAAACAGTAAACGTTTTTTTCCCAGACTTGACCTAATTCATGTGTTTTGCCACAGTTCTATGCTGTGTATGCGTTTCAGGCGCGCTGTGACCAGGAGCTGACCCTGCAGGAGTACCAGCACGTCCGCATCCTGAAGTTCTCGGACCTGGGAGGCAATAAGGACTGGTGGTTAGCTGAGGCTAACGGACAGAAAGGATACGTCCCTGCTAACTACCTTGGCAGGATGTCCTATGCATAAGAAGGAAAAGAATCCATGAAGAAAACCAAACCAAACTGTAGCAATTAAAACAAACATGTTTACAGTTTAAAGAAATAGCTGTAAAACATGTACTGCTTTGTAAGAGTCAAATTAGCCCTAGGTATCTATGTCTCATACCAACAGTGTTGATGTTTAGCCTTGAGAAGCTCATATGAGCTCAGCAATAGGACTTGACCTATAATCTGTGATGAATATAAATAATGGTAGGAAAACACAAGGCACTGTGCCGAGCACTTTTTCTACTTCAGTGTTGTAGAGTTTATATCAAAATGAAGTGATTTATACATGAAGTTAATTTTAAATGTGAATTGATTTACAGATGAAGTAAATGTTATATGTGAAATGAAGTATATATATATATATATTTAATGTGAATGTAAAATGAAGAAATCTATCGTCATGCTTTATATTTTAACAATTGTCTGTAATAAATATGATCTGTTCTCCACTTGTCTCGCAGAATATAATGATTCAAGAACACAACGAGTCATAGCTGCTGTCAGTTTATAAGAAGAGATTTATTGACGTTTGTGATAAAAAGTGACACTTTTAAACGGTTAAACTAGTTATGACAAAGAAGTACAATCCAGTAGCATTAACACAAAGTAAATTCAAGTATTTGACTGGATGGTGTAACTGAAGTACAAATGATATTTTGAAACAAACAGAAAGATCCGGCACTTATCCACATTGTTTAAACGTTTATTTTCTACTCCCTCCTACCTTCAGTTCCCTCAACTCATTTCTTCAGCTTCTTCTGCGCTGCTTTCTTCTTCACCTGTTGTAACCGTTTCATGGCGTTAAGCTGGGACTCTTGGGACGTCGGTGCTTTCTCCCCTGGAGCAGCCTTCGACCCGTTCCCATTGTTCCCGTTACCTCCTCCGTTATTTCCCCCGTTCCCTGCTCCGCTGCTGCCGGGGGAGCTGGACCCCGACGCAGGAGACCCTTTGGCTGGGCCTTCACCGCTGGATGAGCGATTCAGCGGCTGCTTACCCAGAGTCAGGGGGGGCGGAGGTTTAAGAGGCGCCGCACTAGAGCCGTTTCCATTGCCGCTCCCGGGTGTTTTTGCACTCCCAAGCCCCGATTTGGCTCCTGCTAGCCCAGACAGCCCGACAGGTTTCTGGCTGGAGGGAGTGGTCAGGGTCTTGTGGCTCCCACTTGGACCAGAGGACCCCAGTTTGGAGCTGGCAGGAAGAGATGGGCCCGTTTTGGCGCCAAACGCAGCCCACCCTGTGAGACCGCTGCCTGCCGTGGAGGAGCTGCTGTTGGCCGGGTTGGCCGATGTTGTGGACGCCTGAAATTATAAACAGCACAATTATCACAGTGCAACCGAAATGTGCAGAGCCTTATATTTCATTGTTGTATTTCTATAATAATATTGAAAGTTATGTAATTGAGACTTTAAGATGATACCAAAATTACAGAAGTCAAACACTAAAAACATATGATATATTAAAAGATGAAAGTACTCAATAAAGCCTTTGGGCCCGTGGGAATACTTGAAATCTCAAAAATAAGGTAAGGAAATCTTTTATATTAACCATAGGTAATTTACCCCTTTGAGGCAAGAGGGATATACCAACTTAAAGGTGGGGTAGGTAAGTTTCAGAAACCGGCTCGAGTGCACTAAAATTTGAAAGTACACAGCCGAAAAGAATCCGCCCCTTCCTTCAGACTTCCTTACAGAGCACCTCCTCCAACACACATGAACGCGCACATGACGTCAGCAGACTGGTGAAAGTGGCCGCCTGTTGCTGGCGAGTCATTGAAGTACTGCTGCAATGCACGCCCAATGACGGCACGCCCAATGACGGCACGCCCAATGAGGGCGCGAGATACATTTGTGCGTGCACGAGATGGAAGGCTGACAGACAGGGCGGCAATCCAATCTGTTTAGCCGGCCCGGCTAAACAGATTGGATGTACTTTTTACAGTATTACGGCTTCCACAGATGACATTGTTTAATGGATTTTTTGTCAAAGCACTTAAGATATTTATTGCTATCGGGATGTTAAGAGCATTCAATGGAATATAACAAAAAGTGTATCTCGAGCCGGTTTCTCAAACTTACCTACCCCACCTTTAATTGATGTAAAGATGGAGCTTTGTTATCTCTTCTACTACTAGGATACCAAGAAATACGTGTAGGGCCCCCGTGAAAAAGGAGCCTTGCTTGACTAGTTGATGGATTAAAAAAGGCCGTAATCAGTGATAATTATTTAACCCACACCTTCACTTCGGTTCTTTTGAAGGCCTGGAAGGAGCTGGCTGTGTCCGGCTTGGCTTTAAGCTCCGTCTTTTTCACCAGTGTGTCTTTTACAACGGGCGCTGAGGAGGCAGATGCAGGGGACGGCTTCTGAGCAGGCTTTGATGCCTAGTGGACAAACAAATACAGCTTGTTACAAACGGAAGAAAAACCTATTCAGAAACTACTAATATGATTGTGCACTGATTAGTCACATTAAAAAGCACATAATGAGGTAGACGACAAAATATTATTTATGTTCCTTACCATACGCTTCATCTGCCTGGTGCAGCGGGCACAATACCACACGAGCCGTGGATCGTTCACTTCCTTGTCGGTCACTTGGGGCTTGTGACAGTCCTGGTGGTACAGGTTATGGCACTCCTGGCACTCCACCAACTGGTTTCCCATGGTCACTGTCATTTGCCTTTTGTATTTAAAACACAAAATCAACATTTCAATGTGTATTGAATAGCATGTTATTACTGAGGTTTAACTGTCCATGCTGAAAGATCAATTTACAACACTGCAATTATTGTATTTGCTAATAATTAAGATGTACCTGCAAACCACACACGCCAGACCCATCTCCATGGCAAAGTCATCGGCATTGGTCTCATCGTAGTCGTTTATGTTTGGCAGAAGGTCTTTGCTGGTTTGAACGGTAATTGGAGAAGAGCGATTCTCCTGTTTCTCCAAACGAGGCTTTTTCGGAGGGTCCACTTCCGCCAATTCAACCCTGACCTGTTTGTCAGTCAGACAAAAAGAGGCATCAGTGCCATGCGTAATGAAAACATCATGGCCTTGTAGCCACCTTGTGTATTAGTATACCGTGGGCATGCTTGTCTTTATTTATTCCATACCTTCTCAGCAGGTCTCTTCTCTGCCTCCTTCTTGCTCTTTTCGGAGCTGGATTTGCTACTGCTACTGCTGCTGCTGGAGGAGGAAGAGCTGGAGGAGGACTTGGAGTCCTGTTTACTTAAGCTCAGTTTTGACACAGACCCCTTGGACACTTCTATATCCTGGGGACACAACATGAGAATACAGAATGGTTAGCATTCCGTTTTATAAAATATATACCAAATCAATTAGAAGAGAAATGAACAATATCAACAGGACATATCATGATAAAAACAAAATGAAATCCTTACCTTTTGTAATGAACGGTAAGATGAGTCACTTCCTCTTGAAAGGGATTCATCAAGTAAAGCTTTGAGTTTCTCAACGGAGTCTTTACTCTTGGAGTGCAGGTAGCCGAGTCCCTTTAGGAAGATGGGATCCAGCTCCAGACTGACCGGTCCAGCCATAGTCAGAACTGTGAAATATAAAATAATATCAGTTGTTTAGGGTTAAGCAATCTATTTATCAATACCATTGCTGAGGAAGATAAGTAAGGTCACACAAATGACAGATTTCTGAAATATAAAAAGACAGAACAAAAGCTGTAGCTGGCATTTAGGTATTGCAGTGTTAGCTTGGACTGACACTTAACCTGGCTGAGAGCTTCAGGATTATTAACAGTCAAAAAACATCAAACATATTGATTCAAAGAACAACATTTATTTTAAAGAGACATTTGCTACAGTCTTTACAACACAGCGCCACAGTGTAAACAAAAGGCTTCTTACATAGACAGCCTCTTAATTGGAATTACTTAATGCATGATTTAAATACGTGTTAGTAAATGTCTCATTCAGTGTAGCCTCACCCAACCTAGTCTGTGTCATGTGATGTAACCACTGTTTTTGGGATATGTGCACTCATGACCATAATTACTTCACAGATCTAAACTGAAATCAGAGGAGATGAGGGTAGAAAGAGGGAAAGGCCACAGTGAGCCCTGAAGAGATGGAAAAACAGGGTTGATAAGGATTGTTGTGTTCACTATGATGTTTAAATAACACCTTTGTGATGCACTGTGTTGTCGGATATAACCGGGACCAATAGGTTGACATCACATGTATTTATTGTCCTGAATAAAAGAAAAACAAACCTTGAAATGGTGTACATTTGGTTAAACGCAGAGCACAGGAGCTAAAGTTACCCTCCCCGTCAGATGTCAGTTATAAAACCAAATACACGTTATAATTTAAATTAAATTACGTTACCTCAGTCTGCTCCTTTTACCCGATATGTTATTGTTAATGAGCAACTGACGTTAACGGTTGGGCAACACTTCCTACATGAGAAACAGCCGGGGCGGGCGCAACCGCTTAATATGTCCGGAATCAACAGGGGCGGAACCTTACTTGGAAACAAAAGTTATCTAACTTTACGCTCTACGTGCTATGTGCAATAGTTTATGTATGAAGAGAACAATTCATGAAGCTGACATATGTCTTCTTTCTTATTAATATAGCGCCTTGATTGGTATATATCGGGAAGAAGCCGGGACGGACGCAACTGCTAAATATGTCCGGAATCTACTGGCGTGGAACCATAGCGCGGAACCTAGCTTGAAACTCCTTAAAACATGTGATATAACTTTACACTCTACGTGCTATGTGTTATAATAAACCATGCATATATTAAACTATTTTAATATGGCGTTTTGATTTGTATGTATCCGTTAATTAGTATTAATTCGTAAGTTCCGACAGCAGACAGGTGATGGCGCTGTGGTGCTATCCTAGCTTTAGTTTAAGGAAAGAAGAAGCACACCACAGGAAGTAAAAATATCAACGTGCTTTTATTTTGATATCCGACATTAATTCACCTTGCTGAAGCTGTTGTAAGTATCTCTTAATGACATTTGTTCTGCCGTATCAATCGATAAATGGTATTTCCGCTAACATGTTCTTGCTGCCATTATTACTGATTGTCAGAGGAGGTTTCATTAACTTTGAAGAATAATTAACTCCTCCAGGCTGCATGTGCTTTCATTTGGTCAACATGTAACAAATGCATACCTCTTTACAATGTTATATTATATTGTTGCTGTTTTACAAACATCAATTGTCTTGTGGGTAATGCATACAATACAAGTATTAACATCCAATCATTGTATATAGTAGCAGGCAGTCCATGCCCCGGAGGGACGTGACTAAGATAGCTTGTAAAAACTGCACCCCACCTCCTCCTCTCCACCTCCTCCTCTCCACTCATTCCAGCAACTACACACTAACCCAAGGTCTAACACAAGACACAGGACAAAATCAGCAAGAGATAAAGATACAGACATCTTTAACAGAGCATAACAATTA